TCCTACCAGGGGTTTAGCTGCTAGTTTCAAAAATACCAGCCGTTGGATCGGTACGTGACGGCGATGGCACGCACATCTTGGCTAAAGCGTGTCTCCGTTTCGGTTCGGATCTTCAATTCGAGTATGATAAAAATCTGGAAATCATTTGGCTACATCCCCATTTTTTGTTTCATGCCAAATCAACAATGGTCGGTTGTGAGCTGGTGCTCACTGTAGTCGTGCGTACTCCAGCAAACGCTATTCGTTGGCGCGGCGGCCACTTGTATATCTCCAGCTAAGGTTCGTTGCCTAGAATAATGCCTTTGGAAGGGGGATGATTAGTTTGTTGAAACTAATCAATGAAGCCCATGTTCCGCTCCTCGAATTTTATATTGGGAGACTATCTGTAAACGGCTCAGTTTACTGCTGAACCACCCTCCAAAACGGTGGCAGCCTATAGAGATAAAACGAGACATAAATCACAATATTATATATTAAATAGATATATCTATCTATCTTTCAAGTCTTTCTTGCAGATTGATTGGCTTGCAAGTCCACGATTCTTTATGATATTATTATTAATGATGAAAACGTGTTTGCTTCAACGGCCTATTAGCAGTTGGGTATTCTTGTGACTTGATCCATAAGATAAATCCTGCGGTTTCCAGCCTAACTAACCAGATCCTTCCAAGGCTCCGATTTCGGGATGGTGAATTCACGTTTTCTTTTCCGTGCAGTCCACAGCGTTTCCGGTGACCATCGTGGCCATCAGAGTGGGATGATGAAGTGTCGAGTTCATCATCCAACGTGACGGCCACAAGCTCCACGGTGTCGAGTTCGCAACGTGACGGCCACAAGCTCACTTGGAAACCGCAAAGTAGTCACCATGTCCCGATGTGCGTCCCCATGAAGGGATGATGAAGTGTGGTACAGTCGGTACAGTGTGGACGATGATGAGAGGGCAGGACAATCACGAAAAATCTTTCAGAACAGTGACGTGTCGGCTTTGGCTAGCAGGCTATGCCAACTGGTATTGCAAAAAAAAATTCATAAAAAATTTCCATGAAAAAAGAAAAGATGAATTTGTCCGTTCATTGAACCCTAGTTCGGGACCGACGGGGCTTGAACCCGCAGCTTCCGCCTTGACAGGGCGGTGCTGAACTATAAACTAGAGGCAGCCTTTCTCTCCTTCAATAGGAGAAGATGCTGGTCGTGCAATAAAGAATATCAATCATTGGGTACTACAAGGATCGAATTTTGACATCCACGCGCAGGAAATGGTTGCCATGGTGGACTATTTTCTTCGATGATGATACTTTATGGAGTTCCTTGTCCGCCCTGACCTCCTTGGTCGCTAAGTTTTCGAGTGAGAAAAAAACAACATGCACATCTATTGTTTTGGAATTACTGACGGACCCTGAGCTTGCTTCGATGTATGTCAAAAAACGACATTGCAAAATGAGGATGTTAGTAAGTTAAGAAGTGTACATTTTTGCTTAGTTGGTATATTCTCTTTGGAGGCCGGTGAGGAGACCAACTTTTGCATTCATTATTAACTAGCGGAGTGGTTCATCAGTCACCACTCACCAACAAATGATCAGGGAATTGTGCTAAAATGCGTGCAGAACCCATTATCCTTGAGGTAAATGGTGGTTAGTAATAACGGCTCAATCGCTTTCGCATATATATAGTACTAACACGCAAATCATGATGCCAACCACAGGTTTGCAGAGCATTTAGCATCACTACCCCTAACAGGACAGCTAAGTAACGCCCTTTCAGCTAAAGGCGTTCGCATAATTCCATTCGCTTTCTAACTCGGAAGGTGATTACAAGCCAATGATTAAAGAAGAGTGGCATTCATTCATTTCATTTCATTTGGCTGTCAGGCTGTGATGGGAGCTGTCCGCATTGGTGGCGTTCAGGAGAGACGGAGATGGGAACTAGTGTATCCACATGCCTGGTTCTGGGGCTTCGCATCCGCTGGCCGGCCCTGGCATCTGTCATCGCCATGTTATCATGTCATTGTCATCGCCGGCTGTTCTTTTGGCTGCACTGGAGAACAGGTTGGTGCTTGCTTGGGAACCCTGATGCATGTCATCCCCCACATTTTCACATGCAGATTTTATTCTATTTTTTCTTCTCCGCACCAACCGCCGTCGCCGTCAACTCAACACGCTGCAGCCGGGCCGCCGCAGCCGATACACGCTGAGCATGTGGCCTCAACACTCTGACTCGATCTGGGCTGTGATGTTAACTGTAAGAAGCTCCGCACTGATAATACGTACGTTACTTGCAATTTCAGGCCGAACATATTGCACTTCAGTCTCTCTAAAGTTTCATGCAGGCCTTATTACGGCTCCATCAGTGCAAGCAATCTTCAACGACACGAGTAAACAGATGAATAAAAGCAAAAGGTTCTGGCATCCAGTCTCCCAGCATATGTTCGATACTTAGATACAGGAAATGGAATGCCAAATTATTAAGCTAACAAGAGCTTGACTCACATTCACAGGTGCAACCAAACATAAATGAAACAACCACTTGCGAATACTAGTTTCCTCGAGCCATGCTTCCCCTGGCTCTTCTGGTTTCGATGTGTGGAAGTTACTTGTGATTCCCATATCTCCATGAGTATACCTGTAGCAAACCATGGCTTCTCCTGCTGATTTCCGCAAGGATTGGTCTGACTTCACATATCAAAGTTTGCTATATTTGCAGTACAGTTGGCTAAGAGCTTGGAAAGTTAAGGATCTTAAATGAGCAAACATGACATTATTCTTGCTTACTTGAGAATGACTTGCCTCCGCCATTCTAAGGCTTTGCCTTAAGCAAGATGGAAGAGTAGGGAGCAATCCTGTACCCTGAACCTGTGAATGGCACCCCTTCTGGGACAATATCCTTTGGTGATTCCAGGTTGGTATCCACCTGTGGAGGCGATATAGGTAACTAAAGGGGAAGTCAAGATAGAAGCAGCACAAAAGCTAGCCACACCAACTAACGAATACACTAAAATTGCAGTAGACAATGCTATTACACGACGATACCTGTTGCTTGAACATCCTAGGACTAAACAGCAAATTACTCAGTATAAACATGTTAGCAGAATCAGAAAGTATCCATACCACACGACTCCAAGATTTATGCTGTGGTGGTGGGGGAATTACAGCATCCACAAAATACTCATGAGCATTGAATGCCAAATAGATATCTCCACCAGAATTGTGATCATGTATTCTGCACCAGAATCATGAAGAAGCAGATATGTATCAAAGATTTCAGTAAAAATACATAAGAAATACCATCCTATGTACAGAACGTAGCACTTTCTTCGAAGGTAACTTCCTTAACGTGAATGCCAAAAATTGCTGTCCTGGTTCTCCCAACTATTTTCATGCCAAGTGATAACATTCTACCAACAAGAAAGATGTCAGTAATAAAATGTTTAGGAAAACATAAACCAAGAGTAGCATACAGTAAAAGATGGGTAATACTTAGGAGGACTTGTCACATGAAAAAGATGGAAATTGTAAGAATAACACTTAAGGACACACTAACTTTGAACTTACTTTGTTGAGAAACCTGTCTCGTCCTTAGTATAGGATGGTTATGCGAAACTTGATCATCTCTGAGAAAAAACTGAAATGGCCATCCTTTCTTTCTTCCAACTACATCAATATGTTAATTGAGAGACAAATTAGCATTAAAGGCTGTTACATGCATCAGTAAATAAATTACTAAGACAAAAATTAACATATGTAACCTGGCCCCACTGAAAATTATTTATGTGAGCATCATGTCCATAGCTATTGTTGTTTCCATAACGTGTGTGACCATATTAAGTCTCCCATCAGCATCATTGGAGTACCCTATTGTATATAATGTAACTCGTAAGTTATACTCAGCTACACGTAAAAGGTAACTATGGTCGGTAATATAAACCTGGGAAATCATTAATGCCACATGGAAGTTCTTCATTTGCCTTGAACGAAGACTTAGCACATTCAAATCACTTGTTTCTCCTGTAATATGGCAAGTGTGGAGATTTTAATAGCACTAGACATGCAACGTAAAATTAAATGAAAAAAAAACATCCCTAAAAAAATAGGAGGGACAAAGCTCCATCACCATGCTTTAGTTTGAAAAGGTAGGTAATACTTGTATAATTAGTCATCTTAATCATGTCATATAAGCATCAACAATATGAGTAACTTTTTAGTTCTGTTTATAAATTATGCAAACACTGACCCATCACATTCAAAGTTCATTATTCTTCTGGTCACTTTATTCTGACATATTAAAAAATGGCACTTAATTATTTTGGACAACTTTACAGAACTATTCTTCACTCAAATATATCAGTATTATGCAGTGTGAAAAAAAAATCTCCCAAATTTTGATATACAAAACTAAAATTAGTATTCAGTGAAGTATATACCTTCAATGCCACAGTTCCAGCTGTAGTTGTCATTGCACCCATCACGACCACCTTCTCCATTCGCATCATTATGCTGGATGATTTTTTTTTATTTCATTCAAAAGAGGAATGTTAACACATAAGACACATTGTATATAAGACCTCAAGATCACTGGATCACTGCACCGTTTGCTACAGTTACCTTGGAGTTATATGAAACAAGGTCACATAAAGTAAATCCATCATGAGCAATTATAAAGTTCACACTATGGTAAGGCTTCCGATTGTTCACCTGTCAACCAAGATATCAGGAGACTTTATTTTTCACAAATTTTGACTGTTGGAAAAAGAAGCTAATGCTGCTTTTCAAGCCAACAAAATCTTAGAACTCAACAACAAAGCCTCAACAAATTCCATACAAAAAAGGGAATTGTCAGGAAATAGCAACGACAATTGGTTTTATAATTTCAAATGGCATCTCACTAGTTACTATGTTACTTGCTACACAGATGCTGCCTTAAATAAGTGGACCCAGGAGAAATTAGTATTGATAGTTGATAGCTCTAAACAAGGCAAATTAGTTCCTGTAAATAATTAAATACACCAATTTGAGCCCATTTTTGCAAGAAATATGATAGGTGTTGATTATTGCTGCACCAATTTGAGCCGACAGGAGCTTCTGACAGTCTTGGACTTGGAGTGGCTGATTTTTGCCCTCCGGTAGTGCTGGTCATGTTTTCTTTCTCAAAGGGCGATGTGTGGGCTGTAGGTTTCTTTGCGTGTTAGTGTATGTGTGTGGGTTTGGGGACTCTTCTCCCCTTGTACTCTATGTACACTCTTTTCTTCTAATGAAATGATGCGCAGTTCTCCTGTGTGTTCGAGAATTTTTTTTTTGCTGCACTCCATATAAATAACAACTGCATAGTTTCAATCGAGCTGCTCAAAACACAGAAAAACATTGAGCAAATTGGAGGTCCCAAAAGGAAGTAGTAGCACTTAAAAGGGATAATCGAGCAAGTAATATTGTCAACAAAGATCACTGCGTGTTGTGCAACGGTCCATTGGAATCCGGCCTTCACCTGTGCCTGCTATGCCCTCTAGCTAAAGAGGTTTGGACTCTTGTGTTGGCATGGGAACACTTTGACACTAACCTAATCTGGCCTCAGACCCAACCAACAGAAATAAGAACATGGTGGGAACAAGTGGCAGCCACAGTCCCAAGGCAGCGACGGCGACACTTCAATGGGGTGGCGATATACACGATGTGGAACATTTGGAAGGAAAGAAACAGAAGAATCTTTCAGAATGTGGCCATGGATGCTCGACAAGTGGCCTTCAAAGCCAAAGAGGACATTTATATGCGCTCTAGGGTCTTTAGCAACCTGACTTAGTCTTTTCACAGGTTAACCCCCATAGGGGGGAGGGGTTTGTGTGTTTCCTGTGTGTGAGCCCGGTGTGGCTTCCCGGACATCCGGGTGTTCCTGTACGTTTAAATTTCTTTCCTTCCTTAATTGAGAGGCAGAGCTCCTGCCAGGTTTTTGAAAAAAAAATATTGTCAACAATGGGTAAACTAACATGCCCATAAAGAAATAGCACAAGAGCACCTGGTAGAGATCTGCAGAACCAGAAACACGAGTTGCAAACACCCCCTTCATACCAGGATCTCCCTGCAAATGTTTAGTGACATCGGATCAACGATCATTCCTTCACGATTGAGAATAAGAGTAAGATACAGATGAATCACGAATCAAAATGCTGCACAATTTCTGACAGTGTAAAGACTCTTTTGAACATTGAGGTTTAAGTTTGTCTAAACCCACTGATATGTAAAATATTTAGCCTTTTGATTTCATATACCGTTTCTTATTAAAAAAACTGAAGGGATCCGTGTAATATGGTGAAGCACAGGTCCTGAGAAACTAAATGCCAATTTATCTGTCAAATACTCCGAGAAGATAATCATTTCCAACTAAGTATGCCTATGGCGTAAGCAGCCCACTACTATGTGGGACACTTGCATATAAATGTGAACTTCAATTCTGCAAAATGAAGCATGAAACTGTAAAAGGATGTTCATTAGCAATATATGATTGTGCATAAGAGTTGCAGTCTGCAATAGACTCAATAGAAAGATTCTAATTGGGTGATAACATCAATCCCTAAAAGCAGATGATAAGTGATTGGGAAAAACTAGCCCTGACCTCGAAATCTAATAAATCGAATGGCTTCGGGAAACCCTGTTGCTCATTTTCTGAAAGTTGTTAAGATAGGAATTGTTCAAGATACCATTTCCAAGCAAGGTGTATATCTCCCTCATAAGGTAAATCCTACATTACTGAATGTTTTGATGTCCATTATCCCATAGAGATTATTCCAGAGTTGCCGCATTATTTATTAGTGAATAAAAACTGCTGTAGGATTTCTTTGATCATCAGAGACTTTTGCACCACACTCAAGGAATGTCTTCTTTTCTTCTCAACATTGACTGCTTACACAATAAACTCAGTTTTCTGTAAAAGATAAGCACAACCTACTAAATGAAAAAAATGGGCACAACCACTCAACCAGAGTACGAAGCTAAGCATTGGTACATTGCCAAAGGGGTGATCCTATGTAACGGTTAAAGGAGAATGTGCGGATTGAAATTTATGAGCCAAATAAACAATACACTAGCATACTTATAAAAAAATGATAAACTAGCATAAGAATCATCTCCGTCATGGCATCAATAGAACCCTTTGATATGCATATTACAGTATATAATTCTACTTTCTAAGCCGCCTCTGATTCTCCGATAAAGTACCTTAATAAATCTTCGAATATCATCTCTGTACTTCCCGTTCCATTCAGCCCACCTGCAGGACCAATGGTGAACATATTCATCATTTCTTATATAATCAGTGGAAATGAAGAAACACCACGCCCACTCCGGCACCGCCACAGGAGAAGCGGACGGTTTGTCCGCCAGACTCTTGGCTGGCCAGACGAGAAAAGTACTACAAAGCCCTGGTGAGCTCTGTCGGCACCATATCTCTGGCGATGAACCAAATGGTTGTCTAAGCTGTGGCATGGAAACCTTGGTGAGCTGTGGAGTGGTTGAGTACAGAACCAAACAGGTCCCATGATCTCTTAATGGCACTGTAGAGTAAGCACCATTGCTTTACAGGACAGTGAAGCCTGTATGCTGACTCTGAATGGAACAATATAGTGGCAAGAGTTCCATTCAACAAGGAACAACCAAAATCTCATGCGGAAGGAGTGTGGTTTCTAAGTTATTTAAGAATGAGTAGTTCAGAGACAATTCTATCATCTAAGTTAAGAATGGATAGAGAAAACATTACTCTTTTGCATTACGTTCATCATAATGTTAAGGGGGTATTAGTACTAAATGATTAAAAGAAGAAACTATGAAATAAACACTTAAGTCATTCGTTCTAGTACATTTTATAGTCATATTATCAAATTAGTAACTTCAAAAAATTACAGTCAAATTACCTGTCCCAATTAGGGAACCTCCCCACTAGATAAAGGCCACCACAGTCCCAAGGTTCAGCAATGATCTTACATCTAGACAATACAGAGTCTTTGGCAATATCCTTCAACAAAATAAATAAACAATCAGATAAAATTGTTAAGAAGAACATCTGATAGATTTACAAATATGATTGAATCCATTGGGTCAGAGTATTTGTGCTGTGTCGACAAGGCAGGGTTCATCATTAACAATTTTCTTCAAGTGGGTGGCAGGGTTAATTAAAATGTTCTGATACCCAAAAAACTTAGCCATCCAGAACTCATCCAACGATACACATTAAAACTTTTGCATAATTGCACTCATATGAATTTGTGTCAGATATTTTCCCATAAACACTTAAATAATTCTGAAAAACAGGAAAAAAAACAAGAAGCATAGAGATACGAAGTACATACAATTTAAGGTGATTGTCACAAATGGTCTCTCGGAGTTATGACCCACAGTTACATGTAGGAACCTTTTTATCATAGTACAGTAACATTACTTTCACTAAAAAAACAATAAAGTGACATTGAAGAATCTATGTTTGTGTTTGCATCAAATATATCTGGCTAAGAAAGCACAAAAAAGACAGATAAAGAAAAATCCCATCGCAGGCTTGATATTGCAAGAAGTACCTTAATGAGTGGAGGTGCATCAAGAGGACTGCCATCTGGTCCACGACAAAGAACACTCGCAAGGTCAAACCGAAATCCATCTATGTGATACTCCTTAACCCTTGAAGAAACAAAAATACTCATGCAAATCAAAAACAACACAAAAATGGAACTGATATTAAGTAATATAGGACAATATAGGACTAGGCAGTGCATTATCCATCTTACTGCAGCTATTTATGAAAAAACCTGTTGCATCAGTTATATCTTACCACAAGCCAAATGATTGCTAGTTATCAACTAACAAGAGCCCGCAATGTGGGCTTGTTTGGTTGGCACCCTAGCCTGGGGGCTGCACCCAGGCAGGTCGATTCGACCCCAGATGATCGAAATAAAACACCTTGCGTCGCTGCTTCGCGCAGGCGCGTTCCCTGGGTCGGGAACCAAACACACCCTGTATTCTAGAGGTAGTTTTCATAGGCCTCAGGGTGTATGAGATACGCCCCTTGGTGTGATCGTATAAACCCGAGCTAAGCTCCAAATAGATATTTGTATACACTTTATAGTAGGAGTGGACAAGTAAATACGGTAGTAACCAAAGCAATAAGCCACCAACTACTATTAAGAGCAAATATGTGAACAAGTATTCAGGTGAACCTGACAAGTATGTATGAAATCTACACAGGTGTCACAGAAAAATCAAAGCTGTAAGTTGTGCCATACCAATGTCTCAAACTGTCGAGTACAAGCTCCTTGACAAAAGGATGGTTGCAGTTTAGTGTATTCCCTGCATTAAACCAGATAGTTTATGAAGAATAAATACAAGTCCTGCTAATTGTAAGGTTCAGAACATATATTACAGAAAAAATCTAGCTACCAAGAACTAGAGTACTAGAGCACCATGACATTTAAGCAGGCTTTCACAAATGTTTAACAAGGCTTGCCCTATAGATTGCAGCTCTCAAATCAATGTGAGACTGTATATCGATACCAGTTTAAAAATGAAGTGGTTCCTTCACCCTTCTATGAGTTAACATAGCAGCTACATTATGTAATTGCCAGGTACAGTCTGTCGGCAGTGCGACACAATGGAAACATGTAGCATGCATCAAACCACATTGTATCATTCAAGGTCCATGGTACGAAGTTAGTAACCGCAGAGACTGCTTAGTCACCAGAGATGCTTGAATAAATACCATTGCAAGAGATATGCAACAAGTAACAAAAGATGGAACCACCCTAAAACCGAGGACACCATGCAAATCATGACAGTTTTTAACCTAATATAGGCATCTAGCTGTATCAGACTGCATCCAAAAAAATGTGACATGTAATGCAAAGTACATCTCAATTTAGAAAGAGAAGCTTAGGACCATGGTTTTACCGCAACCCATGTAATGCAAAGTACATCTCAATTTAGAAAGAGAAGCTTAGGACCATGGTTTTACCGCAACCCGAGAAGTTCAGCAGCTGAGCATTGTTGTTGAAGTCTAACATGTAATAGACCTGCAAGAACAGCAGTTTGTTTTCTCATAAATTCATCCAGAAATTGATGAGGTTCCATCGTATAAGTTCTCTCCATGGACTCGGAACTTAAATGATAGAACATGTAGCAACAAGTAAAGAGGTATTCTGCAATCACCTTGTTATCAATGCCACGAAAGGAAGTCACATAAGGGTTAGCATCATCAGCTTCATTTGTATGGTTATAAACCACGTCCAGAATAACCTATTCAAACATTGTTATACAATTAAATAGCTTTTGGACAAGGGTATTAAAAACAATGCTGAAGAAAAATATTTATCATGTCTACAGGATGTCAATACCTCAATTCCAGCATTATGAAATGCCTTGACCATCTGTTTGAGCTCTTTGGAAGCAGCCACAGGTCCACCACCCGCACTAGCATAACGACTCATGGGTGCAAAAAAGTTGATTGTAGAATATCCCCATGTATTTACCTTTCAAATCAAAAGGTTGGGTGTCACGCCACTGGTGAATGTATTATGCGTCAAAAAGGTTATCAAACTTTTACCATGTGGTCCCTTGGGTTAGGGAACCTCTTCAACTCCAACTCATCAAACTCAAAAACAGGAAGTAGTTCCACTGCATTAACGCCAAGTTCCAGCAAATGAGGAATCTACGAAACCAGCACTATTTCATGTATATGTCATTAAAAAATCAGCATGGAAATTGGAAGGTAGCCTGTGGCAATATCAGATACCCAAAACTAAATCAGCAGAAAGAACAATTTGTGATAATAATAGGTGATCTTACTAGCATAGGACTGATGGAATCTAAAACCAAAACAAGTTGTGCTTACAAGTGATGGAATAGGTAATCTTACTTTATCAATGACACCAAGGTAACTTCCACGAATAGCTGGACCAAGCCCGCTTGACTCATCCGCAGTGAAGGCACGGACATTCATTTCATATACAACAAGATCTGTCTAGATTAAAGAACAAAAAATGTGGTGAGAATTACATGTTTGAGATATTGTGTGCATTATGCTAAATGATCTTAATACCTCAGGCAAATTAGGAAGCCTATAATTGTCACCCCAGTCAAAAGGTGAGCTATCGAAATCATACGTTCCGAAAAGCTGGCTTGGCTTCTCTCTTTCAACTGCAAAGTGCTTTCGACCAGAAACTAATTTTGCATAAGGGTCCAGAAGAATAACGCTGTCATCAAATCTATGACCTTGTTGCCACCCTTGAGGACCATTAATGCGATACCCATAAAGAACACCAAAAGCAGGCAAACCCTGAAATTAAAAGAGACAGAGAAGGCTTCTTTAAGGTTGACAGATGAGTACAAAAGTACAATTGTAGTAAATTACATAGAACTAAAGTGGATGAAAATTTAATAAGAGAGTATGCATACGAGGGGCACCAAAACAGATAGGGTAAACAAGCTAGAATTGATGAAGAAGAATAGCTCATTAAGAAGAAAAAAACTCAACCAGTGGGAGGTAAGACAGCCCCTGGTGTTGCATTAAGAAGAAGACCTTCTCACGCAAGTCAATAAAACCCCCGAACCCCTACCCCACCCATACACAGCGGCACCGTAGCCCATGTGAGAACGACCACGACCGGGGCCAGGCCTTAGACCTGCTTTTGGCGTGGATGTAATGTGGATTTTTAACCTCAACTGAAATTCGCTCCCATGGGGAGTCGAACTCAGGACCTGAGGAGTGCTACTCGGACCACCTAACCAACTCAGCTAGAGGCTCAACAGTGCTTTCTGTCAACAGGGAAGGTAAGCTCATAACAGAAGGTCAGCAATTTGCAAACATAGGGCATCACATCAGGTACGGTCCCTCCCAAATGCAGGTTATCTTTATTAAATGGAACATGCACTTGAAGAATATGCAATTTGCAAACATAGGGCATCACTTGAAGTTCTGTGAATGTCAGTCCAGAACAAGCCGTCCATAAAAAAGAATAATGTGCTTATCTCCAAAGGTAAAATAGTATCAGAACTAAAGAAAACTACCTCCACCGACACATGCCATATATCTCCAGTCTTGTTCTTCTGGCGATCTAAAGCAAACTCTACAATGTCCACATCATCTTGGGTGCCTCTGAAAAAAGATTTCAGAAAATTCAGATGTTTGCATATTGAGTATGCCATATTACTTTGGAGAGCAAGAAGAAAAAGGCTACAGTTCACTGCTTTTCAGCATGGTGATGATTCGAACCACACTCCAAGTTTATGATCCAGATGATTGCAGGAAATAAATGTGAGGAATCATGAACTATAACATTCCTTGTGGCATGGGCGGAGCCACGTTGATGCCTGGGTATTCCCAGGAATACCCAACTTTTATACCAAAAAAATACTTATACATCAATTAAACATATATGTATATGTTATAGTGGGCTTTATTCTCTATTTCTCAAGTCAAAACGCCACTCCCATCCGATGTGCAGGCATCCACTCTCACGGCCCATCTCAAAGCCCCTACCTGATGGCCCAAGAAAGCAGGAACTAGAGCCGATTCCTGCCCAATCCCTGCTTCGATTCCCGCGATGGTTGCGGCTCGTGACTCATGGCAGCAGCTAGTGGCTACGCTTAGGCGGCTGACGCCTCCCCACACACCGGTGCCGAGAGCCCTGTATTGCGCTGGGGCTGTTGGCCAGCTGGGCAGGCCCCAGGGCGGCCATGACGCCATGCACAGCTGAGTGAAGCCAAGGGCCATCGGCCGAGAACAACAACGAGGTGCCTATTGCCTTAATTTAGGATTATTTGTTACTAGCTGTTAGCATGGATGACGCCGTGACGTGGTGAGCACATCTTTCGTAAATCCTATTGCCTTAATTTAGGATTATTTGTAGTATGATTATTACAACTTTTCAATTAATATAGTGCGTACATCCTTCTTGTAGATCCTAGAGTATGCAGAACGAAGAAAATGATAAAGACGATTGGTTAAGCTTGCTAGGTATTATCCTAATATTTCTTCTCAACATCATCAGAGAGGAACCGTCTTCTACACTTAAACCGTTTCTCATTAATATTCCTATGTTGTAATTTCCCTTTATTCTATGGGTATCTTAGATTTGATCAATTTATGCCTTTAGTCATCAAGTGTCATCGTGAACTATTTTATATATAGTTTTAGAATGGAACTTTTTTCTTAGCAAATGGGAATACCCAACTTTGAAATCCTGGCTCCGCCACTGCCCTGTGGACCCTATCAGGTAATAGCCCTTCAGTTATGGCTTCAATTTGGTCTGTTGGTATGTGGTGGTGAAAACAGCAATGGAAAACATCATTTACCAGGGATCATTTCCGTAAAAGTGATATCGGTTATAACCTTTTCCGACCATTACCGTATTTAAACTTTTTGATTTTCTAATTTCTTTCAGCACAGTATTGGTGTAGTCACTAAATTGTTAAGTTGAAAATATAGTGAGTTTCAACCGACTGAAATCGTTTCCCACATAGGAAATATTGTTACTGACCGCTTTTCATCCCTATGTGATTCTTTTCATTTTTAATGCGAAAATCAGGGGTGAGGGTGTTCATTAAAGCACTTCAGATTTCGATTGTACCAAGCGCATCCCAAAACACGAAATAAATTGTGTCAGGTTGTGCAATCAGTATTGATGTATCTTTAAAACCCTGAAACAAGAGTAGCCATGGACTAACTAACCAAGGTTTACTATGACATCCTAAAAAAGCAACTATAAAGTATGAACACATGCAGTAATAGTGCTAATTAAACTTGGAATGGAGAAGATTAGAATTCCAAGGTGGCCAAGAAACTACACAAGTTCATATCCGAAGGGAAACAAACGAAGTTCAGTAAACTAGCCAGCAGTTATGTTGAATGACATGGAAAGTAACATCACAACACAGTTTTAAGAGAGAAAATATTACCTATCAGGAAGTTTCAAGCAAAGGGTGACAGAAGAAGCATGCTGTGAGAATATAGCAAAATTTAGCCCATCATCAACTTGTGACACCCCTAGGGGGAAAGCTTTGCCGGAAGAATATTTCAAGGGCACTTCATTGCCAGATGAGGTGTGTCCCATTTCCTGTAGTTACGAAATGGATAAACATTATCCCAAAAGAACACATGACAAACAATGCGTACTAAGTTCAGAAGCAAAATTCAATTCCAGAATAGCAAAATGTGTCAGGATACAGCTTATAAATACAGAGCACATTTGCATAAGCAAAATTTTACTTGCACGGTGCTAACCCATCACTTGAAAATGGCCTCGATTATATCAAGCAACACAATATGATCGACCAGTGGTTTAACTGTTCTATGAATAGTAGTGCTCTACTACCTTGGTCACACTTCTCCCCGCCTTCCCGCTCTGAACTTTCGTCGTGTTACTCCGCAAGGCGTCAAATCGCTGCACCTGCGCCACCACGAAATTTGCTTGGATCAGACAATCCAAAGATCAGCATGCCACTATGGCACGAACCGTACCAAAAATCGAGACACCTGCCTTTCCAAAATACTCTCCTCCTCCACACCCAGACGCGATCCCAAGCTTAGTCTCCGCAAAACTGCACAGACTCACAACGAGCACAGCATTCAGCGTCGAGCCGAGCCGCGCCACGAATCGAGGGAATGTAGCACGACCAAATCAACATCTGATCGAGACTCCAGGACAGAACCACTCACCGATTGCCGAGCCCGAGGTGGCGAGGCGGCCGCAGGAGCGCGCTGCGTCGAGTGGCTGCGGCGGCAACGGAGCGCAGCGGGGGCCGATTTGTACCGACGGAATCCATCCAAGCGTGGGGGAGTGAGGAGCAGCGGGGAAGAGACGGAGACGGAGAAGCTGATCTCACCTTGGGGAGCGCGCGCGGAAGGGACGGGCGGGGCAGCGGAGTTGGGGACTCGGGGGACACGTGGTTGTGCATGCGCGGAGTTGTATCGGACTCGGCCGCTCGGGATCGGGAGGATAGCGAGGTGGACGGACGGCCTATCTCTTCTGGCCCGATCGGGGCCCGTCGTCATGTGTTTCTCGGCTCCTGTTTTTGTATTTTCTCGCTTTAGATTTTCCTTTGTTCCCACCGCAAGCCCGCAACGTACGCAGAATTTTTTTTCTTTTTTCCGTATTTTTTCTTCAGTGATCCATGAGTGCTTCTAATTCTTGCCCAGCCAAGATTATGGCTTGCCAAAATTTATAGTCATTAATTAATTCATTGCTAAAGAATTGACACACCAATATTCCTATCCAAAGTTTTAGCAAGTCTCTAGAAAGTTCTTAAACTACGCATAAAAAAGAAAATTAACAAGCCTTAATTTTGGCAGCCAACTAAATGTGCACCTATGTGTTTACCCTAACTTTGGCAGCCTTGATTTTGATAAGCCTAAGTTTTGGCTTGCCATAATTTGGTTGGCAAAAATTGGTAGCCAACCAATCAAGCACTATATTTATATCTATATCTCTCGTAAGGTCCTCAATGTTATCCATATCATCTTCCACTAATTATCAACATCATCTCCACTAATAGTCATATCATCCTACTAACTTCAAACATTTTCTACTACAAGTTTTAACTCAACATTCAAGCCATCCACATCATCTTACATTAACTATCCACATCTTCTCCAACTAATAGTCATGTCATTCTACTAACTTCCAACCTCTTAATGCAACCAATTTTGATAAGAACAGATGTAAGAACATGTAGATGAAAACTAAACTCTACTATAAATTTTATCTCAACATACAAGCATCCACGTCATCTTTCACTATTATATGTTCACATCATCTTTCACTAGCCATGCCATCCTACTAACTTCCAACCTCTCACTACAAGTTTTATTTCAACATGAAAGTCGTTCACATCATCTTTCACTAACTATCTATATCATCTCCCACTAATAGCCATTATCCTACTAACTTCCAACCTCTTAATACAACTATTTTTTATAAGAATGGATGTAAGAACATATAGATAATTTAACTCAGATATGCAATAGTTTTATTTTTAAGAAAGTCCCACAGCTCAGGGTATCCTTCTAGTTTGGGTGAAGTTTATGTACAATTCCTCTGAAATTCCTTAGTTCTAAAGTGACATAGTCCCTCCATTTAAAAAAAATACAATTCTAAGTTTTGAATTAGTCAAAGTTGTTTTGGCCGAGTTTATAAGAAAAAATATTAATATTTATGTCCTCAGTTAGGTTTACTATGAAAAATTCGTAGTTCAATGTAATGTTATTTATTCAATATAAATGTTAGTAATTTTTTGTATAAATTTAGTCAAATTTAAATTTTTTGACTCCTCAATAAATGAGAATTATATTCCTTTTAGGACGGAGAACATATATATTAATATTAATATAGATATTGACATATTATAAAAGCAAGTCAGCATTTTTTAGCTACCGTGAAGAACATCAAAATGGTAGTATACTAGCACCACCGGAGATGGATACAGCGGAATAAAAGCAAGTCAGCATTTTTCTGACGGTTTTTGGTACTTTTACTGACGGACCTAGCCGTCACGGAAAAACTTGGCTGGGGGTGGTGTAGTGCTTTCGTTGGAACCAAACCAACAAATTGCACGAGATATTTGGTACTGTCCGAGGATCCTTGCCAAGCCAAAATCAAGATACAGAGGATTCATATCCATGTGTTTCTATATGTTTTAGTGCTTTCTTTAAAAAAAAATCATATCGCCCAAGTATGCAAATCAATATTTTCTAACTAAACTTCATAGTTCCTGACTGAGATCTATTTTGTGATTTTCTCATACCTCAACTCCCTTCTCACCAATTTAAGTGACTTTTGTATCAAGGTACAAGCATATACATATTTCCATGCATCTATCAAGAAAAGAAATAAAAGGGTAGTTGTACCTCGTGTCTCAATTCTTTATCAATTTTGTTTTGAAAAATGCTGCAACTGAAGGCCTGGAATTTTGTGAACAATTCTGAGCTTCCAGTTTAAAAATACATGACAGTTCCCACCAAAGCACAATGGTCTCGTACGCAAAAATTAATCCCTTGGAGTAAGTTTGTAAATTTCCATTACTTGCATAATTATTCTTCCGAAAACCATCAATGTGAATTGTGGCTTTAAATGCTTCAGGTGTATGCATGCTAGCTTTTAGTAGCTTACCCCAACTCGTAACAGTAATCTAGCTAACTGCATGAAGTAGCTTGTGAATTGGTAAAAGACCAATTTGCCCTTTAGGGATTTACTGTATTACCCACCATGTGCTCTCCTAACCTTGACCTATCCACACAATCTTCATGTCACTTTCATCATTTCCTTTTTTTTTAGAGTTGCCAATATTTGGTATCATCTTGTAGGAACTATAACATATATTTACCTTAAAAACTTTATTAGTTTCTTAAATGTTTTATCATTGAGTCGCCCTACGCAACAAGGGCATAGATGTAATTTCACGGTGTCGTCAAACTACATACAAAACAAAAGGATGATCATGTCTCCTTAATTGAACCCAATCATAAAATTCTCGAACATGACCATGCTATCACAGGTTATCTCGAAATCAAACTCATGCAAAATGTTCGGGTGTGATAGACATTTTTTTGGTTATTTTGTTTCACTTTTTAAAAACCTTATAGTTTGGGACTATGGAGTATTAAATAAAAAAACAATGTTGGCTCCCTTAGTATCCTTCATTTGCTAAAACCCAAAGAGGAAGAATGGTAAGATTCACGGACGTGTCACTTCACTTAGGTCCTATTAGAATCTATAAAGCTAATAATTAGCTACTTAGATAAAAAAAAGTCTAGCTAATAGTTTAGCTATTAATTTGAATACCCAACTAACAACCTGCTTTTACTAGTCGAACCAAATTAACCTACAACAATTAATATTAACTATTAGCTAGCTACTATTTAGCAAGCAATGATCTAAAGGACTCAAGTGACCGAGGACAGGACCAATGAGATGATGCTCTTCTTGGCTCTTTCTTTTGTATGAACCAGAGTTACCAATTGTTTTGAACCATACATAATGACACCGTTGGAAACGTAGCGTGAGCGGAAGTCGCGTGCGTGAATCTGAGCCGCAGACCGCAGCGCAGAAGGTATCCGACCATATACTACGAGCCCACCTTCGCCTGGACGCCGGCGGCCATCATTTCATTGGTTCCGCGCCTCGCAGGATCCACCGCCGCTGCTCTGCGCGGTCCACAGGTGATGACCCCGGTTCCTCCGACTGCAACCGGGCCCCACGTTCGCACCTCGATTTCAGCCGTTAGAATCTAGGCTACCCAACACTTCCGTAAAGGTCGCTCTCCTGAAACTGAAGTCTGAACGAAACCAGTACCACCACCGCCCGGCGCCCGCCTCTTGCCGCGGCCGTCGATGGAGAACCTCCACCTCGCCATCGCCCACCGCCCGCCTCTGCCGGTACCGGCGGCGGGCCACCTCCGCCGCCGCCACCGCCATCGCCACCTCCACCTCCACCACCTCCCCGCCCCACTCTCCCTTTCCTCCCCGCATCATCATCGCCTTTCTCCCACCCTTCGCCGCCACCTCCGCCTGCCTCTTCGCGTCTCCCAAACCCCTGATGCTAACCCCGAGCCCGAGCCTGAGCCCGAGTCCACTGGTGCGAAGCCAGTGCCGCTCGTCATCTCCATCGCCGTCGGCCTCGCCGTGTGGTTCCTCGCGCCGCGGCCCGTCGAGATGAGCCCGCAGGCGTGGCAGCTCCTCTCCATCTTCCTCTCCACCATCGCGGGGCTGGTGCTTGGCCCGCTCCCCGTCGGCGCGTGGGCCTTCCTCGGGCTCACCGCCGCCGTCGCCACTCGCACGCTCCCCTTCGCCGCCGCCTTCTCCGCCTTCACCAACGAGGTCATCTGGCTCATCGTCATCTCCTTCTTCTTCGCGCGCGGGTTCGTCAAGACGGGCCTCGGGGACCGAATCGCCACCTACTTCGTCAAGTGGCTCGGGAGCAGCACGCTGGGCCTGTCCTACGGGCTCACCATCAGCGAGGCCTGCATCGCGCCGGCCATGCCCAGCACCACGGCGAGGGCCGGAGGCGTGTTCCTGCCCATCATCAAGTCGCTCTCGCTGTCGGCTGAGAGCAAGCCCAACCATCCATCGTCACGGAAGCTTGGGTCCTATCTTGTGATGACGCAATTCCAGGTAATTATGTACAGAATGCAATTGGTCAGATTTGCGTGGGATCAGTTGACTAACTTGCTGCTTCCAATTCGATCCTAGATCAGATAAACCTTATAGAAGTTGGTTTCTGATAGATGAATGCACCAACACGGTGATCACCACCAAATTAAGAGCGACCGTTTTCCCAACTGAATTTTTACAGTAAGGGCCCATTGTTGATTTATTAGCTTCATTCACTGTATCCTTCTGTGGAAATTGGAAGTAGAGATTCCTTGTTTTCATGAAGGTAATCAAATGCCACCAGAGTGGTTTGAATTGTTGTTGGGTCTGAAAGTAGAAAACATTATCTTCAGAGAAAGGTACTTCCTCTGATCAGAAATACTATAAGGCACTTTGACTAGCTATATCTTTAAAAATCTATTATATTAAATGGAATGAATTTTGTACTATGGAACTATTTGTCTTAATGAATCTACTCCCTGTTCCAAACTGTAAGTCATTTTAGCTTTGTCCTAAGTCAAGCTTCCTAGCTTTGACTTAGTTTTTAGAAAAAATGTGTGAACATCTACAACATCAAACAAGATTCATTAGATACACCATGAAACATATTTTGGTGCATTTAGTTGAAATTGTATGTTAATATATTTTTCTATAAACTTGGTCAAATTCGACAAGCTTGACTTAGGACAAAAATGAAAGCGACTTACAATTGAAATAGAGGAAGTAGCTATTTATGTTGTCAATCTATATAAAGCTTTTAGAGTGTTTGGTTTCTCGCATCTCCTAACCAAGCCCCCCAAATTTTGGTCAC